TGCCTAGCAGATAGAGCAAGGAAAATTTGTAGTGAGGACACAATAGAAGAAGAGCTCCGGTTCTTACGTACTATCTTCACACACAATGGCTATCCAGAACGATTGGTTAGCAAGATGATTCAGTGCAGTGGAGATATTGTGAAGAAGACAGAAGTCAAAAAGAAGGCAGTTTACATTGTCTTGTCGTTCCAGAGGGCCACATCAGCAGAAGTAATACAAAGGAGACTATCCAATGCAATTAGTAATACCTTCTATGCAGCAAAGCTCAATGTTTTGTTCATTTCCCAGTGAATTGTGTTTGCGACTAAAGGACAAAATGCCGGATTCTGCTGTCTCATTTTCTGTGTACTCATTTACGTGTTCCTGTGGAACAACGTACATAGGCCGCACGGTCAGGCGTTTGTCCGAACGAATCCGTGAACACCACCCTGCATGGCTAAACACAGAAACGATGAAGTCACTCACTCGTGCCGTGGTTTCACACCTAGCTGAAATAAATCATACTGTGAATGTGACCGAGGCATTTCGTCCCCTGTGTCGGGTTCGTGGTCGACTATCGAGGCAGGTTCGATGTCGTTTGCTGGTTACAGCAGAAGCGGTAGGAATTCGTCTGCACACCCTTCCTCTGTGCCCAAAACAATTTGTGCAGGCGCTTAAGCTCCCCTGGCCCACCCCCACCACATATTCCGAGTGGTCCCAACGATCGGATGGCCTAAAAATTATGTCCTCATTGAGAATTCCACATCCAGTTCCAAGACGAAATTAGCCCCAGATAACCCATGAAGTTATTTCCCTTTCCCAAAACAATTGTTTGCGTTTTTATGGTTGAATACTGATTTATGTGTAAACAGCGTAATATTTATTGTGATGTATCTGACATGACTACGAATCACTGAACACGAGCTTGTTCGCCACTCCTTGTTCTATTTGAAATGTTTGGTAATACATGAAGCGTTGCTTATTCGACTACACAGCCCGACTTTATGAGCACAAAGCTCTCGACACAATCAATCCGCTAACCGCGGAGTTAACATCTAAACTATGTTTTCTGTTAAACGTTAGTTCACTACTTATATGACAGCTTGTTTTACTGCAGTAATTGCGGAGATTAAACGAAATTTCGCATCTCAAAATATTTGTCTTATTCCGATACTGATTAAATAATCAGAATCCAAAAAGGCTTTAATTATTCTAGCAATCATAGCTCACGAAACAGGCGTGTTACATCATTATTATGCTAAGATATTCCAGAAATCACCGTAAAAACACGTCAGTAACGAAAGGAAAATCAAATGTTCAAGTATGAATTCTCGGATACGCTATTGATGACTACCAGCTTGCTGGAAGACATGAGTCGAAAGGTGATCGAAGATAAGTATTAAGGAAGACCCTATGCTACGAATGATAGATTGATAAGAATAATACTCCGCTATAAGTTGGTGTTGGAGGGTTCTCTGAGCTGAAAACGTTGTTTGCGTACCTTTGGTCTGTGCGACTTCATTATAGCCCCAGTTCACAGTGTGACCGTTCCTATATAATTCTGTGATTGGCTGCTTGCGTTTCTTCAATCCCGATAGTCGAGTTAATCTGCTCGCTGTTAATTGATTGACCAGTTTACTTCATTGGAGACCACCTGTTTGCTCATCATTCGACTTTCTGGCTTGGAAAAATTCCGAACTTGATTGAGACCGGTTTGAACCGAATTCAAACTGGTTTAAAACTGGTTTGAGCATGGTTTTTAGATGGGTTAGTTCTAGGCGACCGGGGCTTTTGTTAGTTAGGAATAAAGGAATTCAACTTCCACATGTTTGTTTGTACCGTTTATTCAGAGAGTCATACTTTTATGACTTACCGGACTACCGTTTCAGTTGCAATTTGTTTGCAAACAAATTGCCAAGCTCGGCGAACACACAAAATGGAACTAAAGTTGCTCTGTGGTCGTTCAACTTTACCTACTACTGTTGTGCATGCTTTACCGAAACCAAACACGATATCACTTGATTTCCACCTTCCTGTGTCTGTCACAACAGAGCAAGTTTTAAAGGAGTTAAATGCTGTCAATGGAGATAAATCCGCTGGTCCTGATGGGTTATCTCCAGTGGTTCTCAAAACTTATGCAAACCACCGTTTCATTTATCCTTAATACATAGCTGTCAGAAGGAAAACTAGTTGACATATGGCGTGTTGTTCGCATCACTCCAGTACCTAAGAAACAAAAGAGTAAGTTTCGACCTATTGCTTCATCTTCAGTATTACTTAGGACTTTTGAGCGTATTATTATTAAGCACCTATCCTCTAATCTTGAATTTCGTGATTCCAATCAGTTCGCTTATTGCAAGCGTCGCTCCACTTTAGATACGGTTGCTTGTATTATACATTCTATAAACTATAGATTATAGACCAGAAACATAAAATTGTTCACGTTTGTTTCTTGGACTACACAAACGCGTCTAATTCTTTCGACAGAAATATCCTATTGTCACTGTTACGGTAGCATAATCTACAGCCACATCTATTGAATTGAATGTACGACTATTTTACCGACCGACGCCAATTCGCTTGCCTCAATGGTATTAGGTCTTCCACTGTTACTGTAAACCAAGGTGTAATACAGGGTGCAATTTTATCCCCTTTTCTATTCTCATTTTATATCCAAAGCTTGCCAGTCATCTCAAATGTTTTCATTTTTTAATATGCCGGTGATATAGTATATATATAGTTGGTGGTGCATCTCACAACAACAACCCTTTCACGAACCCCCTTCAATTTCCATTTCTGAATGATCTGATGGTGTTAACCTTTCTCTAAACCCCAATAAATGCATTGAAGTTTTATTTTCCATTGACCGTAGGCCATCAACTCTCTCTGGATCGTCTGTTCCCAATATCCTAATCAATAACTTAAAATTTGAAAGGTCACAACACTTCAAATATCTTGGATATTTCGTGTCAGCTGACTTCAAATGGTCCTATCACGTGTAACAAACATTTCTTAAAATCAGAAAGTTGACCTTTTATATTTCACGCCTTCGGCGTCTGAGGGTGCCATTGTACATCATCTCCAAATTTATTTTCTCATGCGTTTTATGCCATTGAACCCACTGCTCTCCCGTAATTTTTCCCGGTCTACTGTCTAAGGATTTCATATTAATTAGCCGCTCTCTGCAAAGCATCTCTAGATATGGAGCTGTATCTTATGAGGCGCTGGTTGATTCCATTGACAACCAACACCTGAAGGCGTGTGACTGTCTGTGTGACTCCATCTTGTTCGATGAGTCACATCCCTTACACACAGCTTTATCTAGCTCCATTTCAACTTCTGTAACCCGCAATGAATTTAAGCCTCTACATACTCGTACCACTGCTTTTCACAACTCCGTTGTACCTTACCTTTCACGTTTCTTGGTTTCTAGGGAGCGAAGATCAAACGAACTTATACACAGTCTAATGTAACTTTCACGTTGAAATTTTCTTTATTTTTTATGCGTTCTCGGTTTCCTATTCATTTTCATCTCAGTAACTATTTGTCATATCTTTAAACTTATTTTTAATAGCGTGCAATGCCAAAGCAAAAGCGATAACATTCTTTTCATTGAAAATTCTGTCCACATTGGATGAATAAAGTGCACTCTTGACTTGACTTGACTTGACCATTACCACTTGATCCTCAGAAATTTTTGTTTAGGATTTCCCCCATCTTTCGTATTATGCGTAACAAAAGACATCGATATTAATGAGGGGGAGAAAATTATAAAAAAAATAGTGTACTAATATAGATTTTACTTAATGACAAAGCACAGGTTGAATGCTTTCGATGCCTGATACCTCAATTACAATCAATTTCTTGCCTAAAAATTTCTTATTTTTGTTGTTCCTGTTTACCAGACAAATGTTGATGGAACTGGCAGACATGTTCAGTAGGGATCGCAGCCCACTTGCTACAAATCCTCTTCCACCACCACGTGGTTCAAGTCCACTGGATACCAACACACAACGAAGCCTCACACACTTTAGTCACATCACCCATGGGTTTGGTGGATTGACACTGATCAGTGCATTGAATACGTTCCAAACCATACTAACTGATCTGGCCAAACTGTTAGATAAAGAGTGTCCCGTACCCAATTTGCCCAACACGCATCTTCCGGGTGTGACTACTGGATTGCACTCGGGACATTTGCACGGAACCTCGACAACAAGTGACAATTCCGGCCTGATGCTTGACAATCCCACCGGGCCCGGCAGCAGTAGTGTAAATGTGAGCGGTCAACTATCAACCGCGCTTACTCCGACAACTGGTGCAGAGATGATGCTGAATCGTCAGGAATCGCGTCCAATAAACGGGCTACGTTGTAAACTGCCAGGCGATTCGATGGGTCCGGAATTACGCGCCCGGTTGGCTGGATCTCGAAGTCAGTTGATGGGTGAACTGGATGGGAGCACCATTATCCATGGAGTGATCTGATAAGAGGGAATTTTTCCCCGAATGCAACGCAAAGACAATAAGAATAATTCCATTGAAAATCTGAAATCAGTTCCACCTCCCTCCATGAGTCCTCATTACCCCGAAAATTGAATTTCACTTTAACAATCAGAAACATGTACATACGTATACATTTGGTTTCCAATGAAAGGTATCAGAACAGACAGCCGAGTTCCGGCGAAATATAAATACATTCACAATCATAACATTTTGACTTTTGTGCGTAACTTGATTAGCATCGCCTCACTAAACGCCAAGATCCTGGGATTCATGTTACATGATAACGGCTTGAACGATAAACGTGGGTTAACAATGTGTGTAGTTGTCATGAGATGTATTGCGATTGATGATCCTAGATTTATCTTATTGGATTGACCTCTAAGACTGTGTTCCGTCATTGATTGTACCAACCACTTGGGAATGTGTTCAGACATCCGTTGTGACAGGAGCCGATGTAAGTGTCACCGCAACTGCAGGTGAACTGGTAGACGACATGTGAAGCAGAATTGTGCGGTTAGTTCCGTTTTACATAGCCCAAACGAAGTCCTTCGGTATACGGTAACAATCGAAGCTGCGCCACAGGAAGCTTTCGACATAATACCATCTTGAGCTTTTGACTCAGGTCGTTTATTATGTGATCACCCTTGAAAGCAAATCTGAGGAAGACGCTTTTCTTCGATACTTCGCAGACGGGATCAACCAGCAACCTTCATCTGTTGTGCACAACAAAAAGTTTCTCTAGATAACCGTTATCCAGTAGCGTCCTTTGCGTAAGGGCCTCTTCTTTTTGAAGAGTGTTAGGAGAGTAAATATTTCTGGCACGATGGAACAGAGTCCTCACCAAACCTCTTTTGTATGTCACAGGAAAGAAACTAGCAATTTGCAAGTACTGTCCGTCCTCCAGTAGACGGATCTTTGCAAGGTGCCATCTGATCTCCTCCAGATTCTCATACCTAAAAAGTTCAATCAACTATCCTTTTCTTCCTCAAGGAAAAAAGAGAGATTGGGATGAACAGTATTAAGTAATTAGGGTTGGCAAAAATCAAAGATCGGTTATTGTTAAATGGCTATACATACAACAAAATGTCTCATTTGGAACGAGTCTTCAGAACTCATACAAGCACATAGGATAAATAATGGAACAGTCCGATGTTAGATGCGCATTTTCCGTAGTTACCATTTTGAGAACAATACTTCGTTCTAGGAAGTATTGTTCATTTTTGTCCGTTGGGAGAAACCGCCAGTCACGTTCTTTTGCTCAATCCAATCATACTACTCACAACATTACTACCAGTACTACTTCCACTATTGGGCTAAACAACTATCCATCTGGTAGCATCAAAGAAAAATTACCCTTGAATTTATTGGACGATCAGCAGGTTGTAACTTTGCAGGTCGTGCGAATGATGACAGAACTATCTACTCAATAACTGAGTGGGTTTCGATGGGATACAATCAAGATTCACCTTACAAGGAACTAGGTGTGATACGTAATTGGACCTTATGGTACACCACACGAACGTTTATCACGACTACGAGATACTATCTACTTGGAGCCGTCGCTGAACCTGCCTAATTAGACCGCAGAAATTATTTCAAAGCGTACACTGATATCCTATCGTCTGAAGATAAAGGCTGACTGAAGTTTACCACAAACTCCCTGATTATATCCCCCATGGCAATAAGGTAGCTGTTCCAATAACTGAAATTGTGATTTGTATCTGTGTGATTCATTTATTTACATACTATGAGACCTGATTGTATGGAGTGCATTGAAAATTCGGCTTGAAGAAGTGAACATCTTTACCGTTTTACCTTGAAGTAAATTTATCCATTCTTTTACCATCAGCACACAGAATCCCTACAAAATCAAGGCTTTGAGGACACTGTTAACTCTGAACATATTTTTAACTCTTTCAACTGTGAAAATATCACTAATCCGGATGAGATTGGAAACCAGGCATGGACTCCGCCTAAGCCTATGCACAATATGTCTTCTATCAACTGAACTTTGAAACTCCGATTGATGCTTCTGACCCTCCCCCATTGTCTCCCAAATAAATTATTTCCGAATCACTCACCATATCGAACAGTTTGCTAGTAATTGAATGAGTAAATAAAATCTTTGAGTGAGATCCTGGAACTACTGAACGGCTGTTTCAATCTGACCGAGAGACATTATCAATGCAAATTCATCAACTCAACTGATAAACGAAGTCAGGACCTTTTTTTGCGGAAATCAGGCAGCCTCTCAGATGGTTCTATATTTTCTGAACTGGGTATTACAAGTTTTAAAACACATTTTGGGAACCTGCTCAAACTCATGAAAACCATCTTCTGAAATCAACTTAGCGTAAAATCTATGGTGATTACCGAAGTCTAGGCTAATCGCACGAACATTCTCTCTCACACTAACTAGCCCCATTCTTACCAGCAGGACTTGCAGTGAATCACGCTATTATTATTTGTCATAAAGCTGTTCATTTCACAGCATAACTGTATTCGTCAGAGGAAGAAGTTATCGAAAACGAGCTTGTTCAATACTTCTGTTGTTCTGTCGCTGTCAAGATAATATAACTTAACCGAGATCATTTAGACACACTTTTTAGCCCAAGTGATCTCATAGAAGTCCAGAAGGAATTCATTCAGATTCGCAATGGAATAGCCGGAAAGCACATGATATGTAACTTTCGGATAACGACACGACTAGCTTGAACAGTGAGCCCGATCAGAATAGGCGGTAACCGTAACGATCCAGTGACCGAGTGAGTTTGACACGAATACGCCCGACTGCAGTACCCAGCGCACTTCTCAAGAGAACCAGAAGAACACCCCGCGAGAGTAGTACTCTCCCGGAACCCGACCAGAGAGAAGTCAGAAAACATGCCTTTAGGTGGGGTTGTATATTTGGCTCGACGCAAAAGGCGAATGTCTGTGGATAACTCACTTGTCTACATGCATTTTCGGGATAGGCTAGCAATGACCTTGAAAATTAACTCAAAAGTACAGAGCTCTGAAAGAGTGGACCCATAAAAATCGATTATGGCCGATGGTGTGGACTGGAAAACATTAGAGCATTCAGTTCCAGAATATCATTATCATCTGTTTCAATATGTTTTAAAATTTGATCGAATAATTTCCCTCACACACACAACACTGTACAGTACAACTTATTAGGAATTAATTCCGAGTTCATTTAGACACCGGCCTCTAAGGGGATGTTGACCCAGTCGGAATTGTTATGAATACAACTGAGTTGCAGTTACCTATACAAACTGGTTACTAGCTCACAACCTCTCACATTGAAAACAATAATAGTGGAAGAATATATGTATGATATGTATGAACGATATCCGAGTGTTCCTCTGACTTACGTTGAACACATGAGATTTCCCAACTTGTATAGGTGAACTTTTAGGATTAATTACGAGCATTACTGAAGTTTTTGGATTTGAGTAAATGGAAATTTTTGTTACTTCATGTACCCTAACTACTTCAAGAAAAAAATCATTACACACAACTGTGTGATGACCAGCAAAAGGGGTCAACCCCATATTCATTAGGATCTAATTTTCTCTCACGGACACGGACAACCTAAGTCCCGGATTTGGAATAACAAACCACATTAGACCACCTTAGGTCAGGTGTCACACTGAGCCGGGTGACAGCGAAGTTACCTTATATTTTATCCTCGATATCTTTTTCGCTCTGTGGAGTTTGAGAAAGCAAAATAAATTTCAAGGTCACTGGCCTGAAATATATAAATTTAATTGATGTCAGAAGTGTTGAAATTCATGAATATATGTGCAAAAATAAGATAAATTTTTAGTCCATTCCTTCCAACGAAGTCATGTAGCTGCCGTTGGATTAACTTTTTCCTAAATTGCGTTGTTAAATGGTGAATGTGTGGGAGATAATTACGGTCTGTAAGATGGTCCAAATTGATCAATTCTATATCAATTTAGCAGACCAAAAGTCTGCTGTAAAATTGTGCATATCAGTCATTTATGAACGGTTTTGTTTAGGACAATGTGAACAGTGTGTGAATTTCGAAGCCGATTCGATTTGATTGTGCAACAGATTGGCAAGTCCTGTTGATCCGTTCGGTATGCGCTTTGCACCTTCAAAGTTCAAAGTGATGTTGCAAGACTGGGTTTCGCCGAGTCCCGTTCTGAAACTAGACGGTCTGGAATTAGCTGAAGTTGACCGCTTTTCGTACTTGGATAGCTGCATGACCAACGACGGTAGCGCATCAAAGGAGATAACCACCCGCATTTTAAAGGCTGGAGCAGGGTGTGCAGGACTTAAACACCTGTGGCGACGGCGTGACGTTTCACTGAAGTTGAAAAGTCGCATATACTGCACCACTGTACGATCAGTTCTGCTTTACGGATGTGAGACCTTGAATTTGCGGGTGGAAGACATCCGTCGCTTAGCAGTTCCCGACAATCGATGCTTACATAGTCTAGCCCAGGTAGGATGCAGTGAGCGGGTTAGAAACTTATAAGTAAGTCGTCGGGTGTTTGGGAACGCATCTAACAAGAACTTGCTGTTGCATCAAATTCGACTCAATCGGCTCCGTTGGGTAGGATACGTTTTGCGTATGTCCGACGGTCACCTACCGCAGCACACCTTATTTGCAGTGGTTCTTGCAGACTGGAGAAAGCCACGTGGAGGCCAGCAGATGAAATGGAGACGAGGTATGAAGAAATGTACAGAGCGATTAGGTAGAGTAGGTGTCTCTCGTCCTCTGGGTTGAGGTCCAAATGACTCCGTAAACCTGGATATTTGGAGACATTGAACGTCATGGCAGCAAACCGAAAGCAGTGGTGAGCTTGCTGTCACTTCTTATCAGACCAGAATGCTTGAAATAGTGTATGCACAGTTAGACTGTGTACTAATTGTCTTGAACGTAGAGGTTCGCTTTCTTTTCCCACCTCCAAAAATAGATCCAATCCCTGTCCGCATTACACATTCTCACTTACCTTGTATGCTGTATGAGTTTGGCAGCGATCAGTGAATTTCGCCTCACTGTATTACGCGGTACAATGATGATGATGTGCAATCCCTTAACGGTATGTTCAGATTAACAGATTATTAAAGTGTTTGAAAATGTAATACTTTTCAACGATACCTTGTGCAAACCTGGTGTCAGCAAGCCCAAAACTTATTCAACATCTTATTAAAGAGAAAATTTCAATGAGAACGCCAATAGTTGAGTGAAGTCAACTACCACCAAATTTGACAACCGCCTGATTCGAATGACATTAGACAGCTTTTGTAACAAAAAAATTAATGAAATTGAGTCACGGTGTTACGAGAAGAAAAGGAATGACTTGTGCAGTTTCAAAGCCAAAGAATGAAACTGATAATCGTGGGAGACAGAGAACGGTTCGACGACTAGGGGAACACCCATTTTCCTTTTTTGTAATGAACCCAGTTTGTGGAGGAATGCCTCTTTGGTAACGACACCGGGGTCTATCGTACAAGGGTCGGTTGGTGCTGATGTTTCCTATGTTAATATGCATCGGTGCTAGGAGTTAAAGTCATTCGTCACCACTGATGTGCAGATTTGGGATAAAATACCAATTGAGTTGTGGAACCCTCTCACAAGTGGCACCATCGACAGATAGAAGTTTTGCTCACCTACAAGGCGTACTTCCGGTGAGGTTTTAGGGTAAAATTCTTCACATAGAATGATTGTTATCGAGGGTAATTCCCGTTGTCACCGAGGTTCATTTCAAGAAGTTTTTCATCAACTACAGTAATGGCCGATTGTGATGCACTAAAATATTTTCTTTCTGATCAAATTGACTTTAATTATACTTATCACTAATATTAACGCTTTACGTATGGACAATAATTTATCCTTTGTCTGCTTCGATCTACGTAGTTTCTAGGTTGCATGGTTGTCAATTAAACGTGCCTGACCTTGGTTGCCAAGATAAAATAGTCTTAACATGAAAGTCGTAAACTTTATCAAGTATGAAAACGCGATATATTTTAATATGAATGAGTCAAGAATTATCCCAAATTATTTGCATAAATCCTTATCATCTCGGTTATCTGTTGTGAGGCATTAATTTATTCACTATATAATCCAAAGTAACAATGTGATTGAAAATCTGTTTTTTCTTTTGAAGAGAGAGGTCAGTGTGCTACTTGTACATTGGACATTGGAGGGAAAGTGTGATACGTAAGGGAGCACAAAATAGAAAATGACTTCATAGCAAAGTTGGCGGATTTGATGCTGAAGAAACTCGAAAAAGTCCTAAAGAACACAAGCAGACTAATCGATTATTAGTGTACACAAAATTTGCATCTTAATTATTATCAATGTTAATTTGTTGTAAATAAAATAAATAAATTAGGGTAAAGAGAAATGTCAGCTGAATAGACATCAAGTGGACACACGGGTAAGGCAGAGAGGGGCTTGGAAAACAACGGGGTAAATTAACCACAGTGGGAGGAAAATAATTACAGAAGGAAGAAATAAATGGTGCGTGAGCGAAAGTAGAAAAGTAAACTTTATGAGTAATAGGATTTAAACATAAAGCACTATGGGATAGCTGACCTTGAGGAATTGCTTGTTGGAGGTAAAATCTGGAGTGGGACGAAAAACACAGGGCACAGCAATAAAATTATTATTTCCGGGGTAGAAAAACCACGGCAAAAATTTCTGGGCGCCACCTAATAATTGGCAAATAAAGCCGATAATGCATTGCATATCACTTAAAAAGTAACGAAGTAGGGAAATTTGATTAACTGTGACTACATTTCTATAATCTCACATTTTTTACTCCAAGCGGCTTGATTCTGCAAAAGAAATAGATTTGTCTCTTTTTAACTAATAAAATTGTTCTCAAATGGGAATTCGTAGAGAAACTAAAATCTACAATAAAAGGTATTGAGTTTTCTCTTCTTCCGCAACCAATCACGTTCGGACTATTCGGTTATCCTCAGTGCAACATGTAACATGAAATCCTTTGCATTCCGGATTGCATCTTGAATGCAAATAGATTTCTCTGTGGCTTCAAGGATTTTATTATCACACTGTTTGCATTTACTTCGAGAAATAGATTATCTCTGATGCGACTGTTGGTCTAAACAGGAGTCAAAAGGAATCTATCATCCAGTGAGATTGCAATTTGGTTACTGACAAATGTGTGAGTAGCCAAAATATAATTAGATACTGTCCACTGAGAATGAAGCAAAACTAGTTTACTCATTGGATGCCCCAGGAAGAGAGGAATTATGAGAATAGTATAGTATAAATGGTCATTGTATTTTAGCTCATCAACAACAGAGTTTATGTCAGCGTTTGATCCTGTTTATCCACTTTCTGTAGTACATATGGGGAAATCCGTTGATTTGTATTTGCTGGAAACAGATGCCATATGTGAAGTACATGAGTTTTCATCCTTTTCTGGTTTCACTGGTTTGAAACTGCTATCCACATTCGGAAAACCGCCAGATATTTGATGTGGTCGACGGGTACCGGTGTGGAACAGTTTTTGCCAGGCCGGGTAGTTGAAAGAAGAGGGTCGGTGCTTATCGTCCACGTGACGAGGCATGGCTAGGTCTAACGCTTCTTCTGTGTTCGAAAACAATTTCGAAGACACTGGGACGTTGGCTGTTGAAGGCGAGAAACCTGCCGATGAACAGTTCACAAGACAAACGATTAAATACAGAAATGTAACTTCGAAACCAACAGAAATTGTAGTATTCATTAAAAATACCGGTGTTTTGGAAAGGGTAAAAAACAGTATTCGGGCTAGTAGTTCTCGTAAATTTTGTTGAGGTAAGCATTAAAGACATCTTACTAGGAATTGAGATAAAATATCTGTATCCACCAGACATTTCAGTGAGGTGGATGTAATTAGACGTTAAAAGACAGTGACACATGGATGATGTAGTGCAGTAATAGATCGAACTTTAGGGTCACTGAGAGCCACCATGTGTAACAAGTTTTCAATCAAAATATTTTATTCGTTTGGTTAGACGGGCAATTTATGACGACAAACGAAGGTAAAAAGCCATCAATGTATCCAAATATTTCATTCTGCCTGTGAAAACTACTACCGTGTCTTTTTTCCGTTTGAGAATCAGTAGATGTGACTGTTTTCGTACTGCACCTTTTCCCATCAAGCTTTAACCCAAACCCGCAATCCTTTAGCCTTGACCTACATTCCTTTAGCCACAACCCGCAACACTTTAGCCAAGACCCGTAGTTCTTTAACCTCGACGCACAAACCTTAGCCATACCGCAGTAGGTAAAGTCAGATCAAAAGTATCGGAATATTTTGAAGTCAAAGGATGTTGAAAACATTGTTTTCTACAGATGTTGATGTTGCACAGCTTGGTTGAGAAATAATAATGTGTGGGAATTTCATTCTGCAACACGTTGATTAGAGAAGGTATAACCGATATGCTCGTATCATCAAACCATTTGACACATCTCGTACAGCTTCAGTGTTTCTGTATAACATACGACACTCCTAGGAGTTTGAGGGTTATGCGATGATGGTTTTGAAGGAGACAATGCAGTCGGTCTTATTCGAAAAGCCACATGTCAATCAGCTTCACAACCAATTTTGATTGTCTTCACCAGATGGCAACAGTTTCCTCAGTTTTTTCCAGAGTCACTGAAATCCAGCTTAAAAGTTGGCCTCGGGAATATTTTTAGAATAACATTCGAATGTAGCGCTTCCAATTGCTGCTAAAAAGGTGCAATCGATGACAGGTTACAAACAAAAATTGTTAGCCTCTTTTGGAAAACCACTGACCATATCCGATTTCGAGAGAAATTTCTGCACCTTCAGTTTTCGTGCTACTTCTCAAGAGGAAGTTTATAATTTGATTCGACAAAAAAATCGAACAATCACGGAAAACATTTTCTCAACAATGATAAACGGATGTGTATTCGTCCACCATCAGTTGTGTTATGTCAATTTGTGACTGGGAATTTCGGCGGAGTTTGTTTAGGTCAGGCATATGCTTATTCCTTCATAGTATGCGGAAGCAGTTTTGCCGGTAAACATCACACCTCTAAAAGTTTAGGGGAAACTGGATTCGAGTCCGTTCGACTGCAATTTTGCGGAGTAGTTTTGGAAGATGATCATTTACCCCCAAGTTTTGGAGAGCGAACCTTGTTTTCAGAAAAAGAAACACAGATATATAAATCAGAACGGAAATGATAGAAGACATGCTACAAGAGCGAATCCTTTCGGAAACTCTTATCGGTCGCAAACACACAAAGTCCAAACAGCAAACGAGAACAGAATAAGTCACAGACAATTGTGGTAGAAAATGCTGAAAGAAAAACAACGTTGATCAATTAAAGCGTAGGTGGTGATGTCTCCTTTAAAACAATCACCACGTAGGCCTAAAATTTCCGGTTATCAAACCAGGTAAAGGACAAAGATACGGAAGTTCAAAATACGACTACGCTTAACTAATATCCTAGCACAACCATACAGATTTTCAAGGAACTGGTCCGGTCTGCTGCTGGAAACATTAAGGCTAAGGCCGAATTTTCTGTAGAGTGTTATTCTCTTCCCAATTCCTATATTTCACTACCTACTCTGACTGTTTTCTTCACTGGTATTAGGTTACTTCTTTCGTCCTTTATCAATCAGCGCCTATTGATTTCGGGTAAAGTGACCAAATATATTATCACTAATACTCTGATTCCCACATCACTACTCTTAAGTAACTGTGCGTTGAAATGAAGAATAAAGTTCAGTGATTGCATTCAGACAGGAAGTTAAACAAGTTCGGTTAAACTATTCCTCTAGGGAATTCATTCTGTTTGCACGTCAACAGTGTAGACCAAAAAACAAGTATGACATTCCGAGTCTACACCCTCTAGGACACAAAGTTCCACGTCAGTTCCTGTGCACAAAATCTAAAAATGTTCAGGGGAGCGGTTTTATATGCAAACAATGAGTGTTTTGTAGCTGAGGTCCAAAGCTGATCCTACATAACATTCAGCATTTGGTTATTTACATTATTTCTATGACAATGTATTTGCACTCTAAAACCTGTTTGGTTTGTGAGTAAAACGGAGTAATGACATCTGAGATGGAAAAGTTTTGGATGATCGAAGATAAATCAATCTATGTGAAAATTAGGTCTAAATGACGACCAACAACGGGTTTGAGTCTCTGCAATCAATTGTTCAGAGTGAAGCTGTATCAGATTGGTTTGTATAATGTCCAGCAACTAATAGAGCCTTCGCCAGAGTCTTACGGAGCCACGATTTCAAACAGTCCTAATGTGGGGATTTGAGTTCATGCAACCCTTGTCACGATTATAACTGAAGCACTTAGTGTCACTGAAATCACAAATGAAATAACATAGCGGCAATAATAGTCAATGCTTTAATTCCCATCACTGAATAAATAAACGAACAACACATCTAAGGAATGAGGAAGCGACCAACCAAAGCGTAACCACCACCACCACTACCAAACTGGTTATTTATATTAAGTCAAAGTCAAAGTTTTATTATGGGCGTTTTAACAAAGCTAAAGCTTATCATGCCCCATAGGATTTTTACAGAATGTTTTGAATAACTTCACAAAGAGAAAATAACAATGATAATGATGTGTGTGATCACTCACAGATGTTGAAATTTTAAGTGTTCCAATGCTGTATCAAGTTGCGATTTAAATAGTTCAACTACATCAGATGGGAGAGAATTCCATGCGCCGCACAATCTGACTGCAAACGAGTGATACCGGCAATCAAGGTGGCTGTTCTAGGTCTTTACCTTTAGTGGATGTCCCCTGAGGTGATCATTATGAGATAAAGTCAACAGAGAACGGCAAGGGTGGTTGGGTTGATGCAGTATGTGATATGCCAAT